TTCCTGCGCGAGTTCGCGGAGGACCGGAAGAAGAGGGACAGGGCGCGGCTGGAGGTCGTCAGCCGGAACGGCGTCGGCGCCGGCGGGAGCGGGCGGGGGAAGGGCAAGGAGCGGGAGGTCAGGGGCGAGGCGGCGGCGGCGGAGGAGGAGGATGATTGGGATGGCGATTCCTTCCTGCCGACGTACATATACGACGCGATGAAGGAGAAGAAGCGGTTCGATAATATGCGGGTGCGTGCTTTTCCTCCTTTTTTCGTGTAACGTTTGTGCTGATACCGGTTTATGTGATTTAGGGCGGACATCAAGAGGATGCGGAGGAGTTCTTTGGGTTCTATCTGGACACCCTCGAGGAAGAGCTGCTCGCGATCCTGCACAGCGTGCACCCGCCGAAGGGCAAGGGGGGCGCGGCCGGCGGCGCCGTCGAGGAGACGGAGGAGGCCGCGCCGCCGGAGGAGGACGGCTGGCTCGAGGTCGGCCGGCGGAACAAGATGGTCGTGACGCGCACGGTATGTACCCTTTTTCTTTTCTTCACCCCTGCATGCGAGAGTGGGTTTGCTGATGATGATGGTTGTCTGTGTGGATTGATAGGTGAAGGCGACGGAGAGCCCGATTACGAGGATATTTGGCGGGAAGTTTAGGTCGACGCTGCGCGCGCCGGGCCAGAAGGACTCGGTCGTCGTGGAGGATTGGCGCTCGTTACGCCTGGACATCCAGGTTTGTCCAACTTGACTTATCCTCCATGTCAATCCATTTCTCATCATCATCATTGCTATGCATGTACAGCGAGACCAAATCCACACTATCCAGGACGCCCTGTCCTACATCTCCGACCCGCAGCCGGTGCAGGTGACGCAGGCCGCGCGGCCGGGCATTACCATCGAGGCGCACCAGCAGGTGCTCATCGAGGCGCTGCCCCCGATCCTGGTGCTGCACATCAAGCGCTTCTGCTACGATACTGCTGTCGGCGGCGTCGTGAAGGTCGGTAAGCAGGTCCGGTTTGGGCCGGAGCTGGAGATCGGCGCTAGTACGTCTCTCTTTTATTCATTTGTTGGTGAAGGATCGACGGAGGCTGATGCGCTGTTTTTTTCGCGACAGATATTATGGTGCCTGCTGCGAAGAAGGCGCAGCCAGCGCGGTATAAGCTCTTTGGAGGTGCGTAACCTCTTCCGACTGCTTTCCCTTCGATCATCATCGCTTATCCATGTCGTGGATATAGCCCTGTACCACCACGGCGTCTCGGCGTCGGGCGGCCATTACACGCTGGACGTCCTCCATCCGAACCGCTACCCGAACGTGAACCCGGGTGCGAAGCCGAGGGAGGGCTGGGTGCGCATCGACGACGACCTCGTGTCGGACGTCCGGCCGGAGGACGTGTTTGGCGCGGCGGAGCGCGATGATGCGCGGTGTGCGTATTTGCTGTTCTACCGGAGGATATGATTTTTTTCTTTCTTTCTTCTTCCCTTTTGATCGAGGGTTTCGTTTTCGCCTCTGTTTTGCGTGTTTTTGTCCTCTCTTTTTCTGTTGCCGTTGCGTTGCTGGTTAAATGGAGTGCGTTTTGTGGTAGTGTAGAGCGGCTGGTTGTGCTGGTTTGTTGTTTTAGTGTAGGCTATACCAAGAAACATTTGCATAAAATAAAAATTCTACTCTATTCTTTTCAATCCGCTCTTCTCGAAGTGAACCCTTCATGACTCATCTCGCCTATAACCTATCCTCAATGACACACTAGCCTACGTTTTCATGTGTTTCGCATTAGATGTTGTGCGCGCCGACGGTCAAGGACTCAGCCAAGAGTCTAAGACGCAAGTGATGGCGGCACCGAGATCAGGTGACTACGAGGAGACCCGAGATGTGATAAAATAAAAATCCTACACTGAACTCTTACAAGCTCATATACTTACATTATCTCAAGTACCATCTACTCTCTACATCTTGCCAAAGAACATGTCTGCAGAAGTCGCCACCCAGAACCAAAACCGCGCGTCCGGACCCGGGAAGAAGGGGAACTCAAACAGGCCACCTCGGGGCGGCAATCGAGGATCTAATCGCACTGCGCGCCCAGGGCCGCAGGTGGCACCCCCCAAGCGAACGACGCCAAGCGCAGCAACGACACCGGTGCGCCTGCTGCTGCTGCGGAGCCTGCGTCCGCTGCGACCCGCCAGCCGATCGCCGCCGCTGCGCCGCTCTCGGACGCGGGCGAGGAGGTGTGCTGGATCTGCGCGGAGCCCGTCAAGTACTATTCGGTGTCCGAGTGCAACCACCGGACGTGCCACGTCTGTGCGCTGCGCCTGCGGGCGCTGTACAAGAAGACGCAGTGCACGTTCTGCAAGGTGCGTGGAGGTGGGCCCCCGTGGCAATGGTATCCGTCCGGAGCTGACGCTGACGGCACGGATGTTGGGGTTCGGTTAGGTCCCGCAGACCCACGTCATATTCACGACGTCGACGGACGCGCTGTATGAGTCGTATACGCCGGAGGCCATCCCGTTCAAGGACGCGAAGTTGGCGATATCGTTCGAGACGGAGGAGATGATGGAGGAGACGCTGATTCTGCTGCGATTCAACTGTCCGGATCCCGAGTGCGACTACATCGCAAACGGCTGGAGTGATCTAAGGCTTCACGTACGTGGAATGCACGGGAAACTCATGTGGTACGTTCGCTCTATATTCGCTGGCCATCTCATTAGCTTATCCGACATCGACGCAGCGACTTGTGTATTCGACACAAGAAAGTATTTTCCCATGAGCACAGTTTATACTCTCCAGCGATGCTTGCTGCCCATCTGCCATCGACTACTCAAGCCCAACGATCGGGCAAAAGCGCGGTGAAAGAGACCCCGGCTGGCGGCGTGCACCCCTTGTGCGCATTCTGCCACGAGTGTTTCTTCAGCGACGACGAGCTGTACGCCCACATGCGCGAAAACCACGAAGAATGCTTCATCTGCAAACGAAACGAGGTCCGAGATCAATATTTCCAAAACTACGAGAGCCTTGTGAGTTATATTCGCCCATTCAACGGAATTTAAACTGAGGATATTCTTTTATCTCAGGAACGACACTTCAATACTGTTCATCAGCCTTGCACGCACCCGGATTGCTTAGCACAAAAATTCGTAGTCTTCAACACCCCGCTCGACCTCAAGGCACATATCGTCGAAGTGCATGGCGGCGACATGAGCTCGAGAGACAAGAAAGATGCACGGCGGATCCAGGCCGATTTCGTGTTCGAAGAAGTCGGCTACGGCGGTCGCCACGGACGCGGAGGCCGCGACAGAGACAGAGACCGGGATCGAGACAGGGAGCGCACCCGTGAGCCGCCGCCGCATCAGCCTGCGCCTCCGCCTCCGCCTCAGCAGCAGCCAGCCGCTACTTCGCGTCCTACTCCACCTCCAGGAGGCCGAAGGCGAGAAGGCTTTGGAGGGGCGTTAACGACGGATTCTGGACCGGCGGCGGCGTCTTCTAACGCTGGCCGCGGGACACGACCTCCTTCTCCTCAGCCTGCGACCGATATTGACCCAGAAACTGCGCAGTATGTTGAGCTTCTAATTTATTTGGCCAGATTCTTATTCGTATCTCGTTATTAGGAGACATGCTGCGTTCCTTGCGCGCCTTCAGTCTCTAGCGCCTAATCCTACTGCGGCCGTTCCTGCAGTGAAAGCTGCGACACGTAGTTACAGACATTCGGAATCGAGCGCTCGCGATCTGATTCAAATCATCTGGAACGTCATGGACACCAGCTTGGAGTCAACAGCGAGCATTGTCAACGCCTTTGTCGATCTCGTGGATGAGGAAGAAAAGAAGCAAGACTTGCTTGCATCCTGGAAAGGGTTTGCCATCGAGGTCCGTTTTCCTGCCATATTTTTCTCCGCTCTAGCGCAACTAACACCATCCCATTCTATAGCAACGCCGCCAATTCCCAGACCTCGTACCCACCGCCATAGGCTCAGGCTACGCCGGCATCACCTCCGGGCGCGTGCTCAACGCCAAACACTCGACCGCCACGCGATCGTCGCAGAACCAGCAGGTCTGGAACCGCGTCGAGATGGCCGCGAGCTCTTCGTCCGCCGCGCCCGCGCTCCCCCCGCCCCGGCCCGCCGTCGAGCGCTTCCCCGTCCTCGGCCGCGCGTCTCCTGCACTGCAGCACCACCCGGCCCCGCCGCCGCCCGCCGTCGCGCAGAGCTTCCGCGGCACCGGCGGCCCGCGCAGCACGCCGTGGTCCGGGAGCTCCATGACCCCGCCCGCGCTGCGCACGCAGCAGCAGCCCGTCGTCGCGGCGCCCGTAGTACGCAAGGCGGCGGCGGGCGGGAAGCAGGCGCCGCCGCCGAAGCTGTCGAGCGCGCTGTTCCCGGAGCTGCCGTCGTCCGCGGGCGCGCGGTCGAAGCTGCAGGTGAGCGGGAACGTGTCGCTGAGGAATATCCTGGGGACGGGCGGCGCGCCTGCGGTGGCGGCGTGGAGCGCGGGGCCGTCGGGGTCAGGTAGTGGGACGTCGTCGTCGCAGGCGGCGGCGGCAGAGCCAGATGCGGAGGCGGATGTGGCGGCGGCGCCTGCTGGGAATGGGAAGGGGAAGAAGGCGAAGGGGAAGCAGAAGCAGACTCTGTTTACTTTGGGTTCGTTCCCGACGTAAGGTTGGATTGATTAGTGTGGTTTCTTGTACATGGCTCGCCCAATTTATTGCTTTGAATGTCTGCGCTGGGTGATATTCAAAGAATAGAATTTACCATCATTCATTTCTCCGTCTTTCACGAGGCCTGAACGTTGGGCCCGAAGGCTTTTCAATAGTCAGAAATTAGAATTGAAGAAACTGCTTTGCGTCGAGTCTCACACTGGCCTCCCCATTAACGCAATACACACATTTTGAAGAATCTGGCGGAATGGGCGTTTTGCCGTTTGCTTGTTGATGAAGGTTTACAAGATGAAAAAGAAATTATTCCTCGATCTCCTCGAGGTTCAAGAATCAACAGCCTCCTGCAACTTTGAAAGTCGTTGCGGTCGAAGGACAAAAAAATTGACAAGAGTGGGACTTGAACCCACGCCACATTACTGTGATGAGAATGCGCTGTTGCCTGCTCAAAGCAGGAAGCTAAGCTTGAGTCACACGCCTTAACCGCTCGGCCATCTTGCCTTGAATACCTTTACAATTCTATCTGAATACAGTGCCACAGTGTTTGCTTATTTCGCAGGCCGCGGCCAAACAACGCGTTATCTGCATGTCCGTTTGTTCCGTTCCGTTCAACTCTTGTGCCTTTCTTTGTTTTCTGACAAGACCGATCAGCTTGGTGCAGATACGGCAAACATTTTCGACAAAGACATCAGTCATGGTATATCAATATGCTCGGAAAGATAAATTATATTATCGCAAGATCTCATCGCTCAAATCAAGCTCAAATGCAAGAATAGCGCTGAACCACCGTCAAATGGTACGTGGCTGCTTGCGTTCTGAAAGCCTGCTTCTTTGACTCATTGTACCCCAACTTTCCAACTACAGGCCCATGGGATCCGTGGCATCAGAGTGACTGCCCAACGCGTCTAGAATGCGACGGCTCAGAGCTCGACAATTTCATATCATCATCACTGCGCCTCGAGCCCAGTCAACGAGCACGTACCAGGAGTACCATTATTGCTCTCTCTTTTCCCCCCATGCCCGGACTCCCAGTGGGCATGATGATCAGAGCTCGCCTCGAGGCTGTCAGTGTCAAGCCCACTCACGCGTCACATAATTTAAATCATCACCCAGAGGGCGACCCGCGGGCCTTGTGCGAGCCACCAGCGTTTCCTTGTTCTTTTTAAAAATCCGCCACGCGCTAGCATGGTTGCTGCTGCGTGCTGGGCCGCTGCCACCCACACTTCCCTTCCTTCCCTTTCTGCCAGTCACCAGCAGTCACCCCCCGTCCGCACGAAAAGGCTGTGTTGTTGGCATTGCGTTGTCGCCTGCCCGTGCCAGAGCCAGACGCGTCTGCACCGACCACCCGCCCCAAACATGGCCATGTCTCACTTCCCGTCTCTTGTTGCGATCACCCACGTTCGGACTACTAGTACCGCTTCGGCGAGAGGCGCCTCCCATCAGTACACGATTATCGCCGACGGAATGTTCTCGTCTCGTGGCCATGGCGTATCTAAGATATCCAAGAGGCAAGCAGGCTTCCCCACCGCTTCCTCCAGCACTCTGAATAACCATCCATCCTAACTTGTGTGCTCTCCCAGAAAGCCCTCGTCACTCTCGCCCAACGCACCCCCCCGTATCAGCACCGCCAAATTAGCGCTGGCGTCAGAGCCCGCTGGCCTCGTCGCGCCTCCTGGCCCGGGCACGCCGACACACCGCCGGATCGTCCGCAGGAAGCTGGGTCTGGCGGTCTCGGGCATGCGGGCGATGTCAGACACCCCGCAGCCCCCCGACGGCGATGTACACGGCGATGCGGACGTCGACGCCTCGGCCACGGCCGACTCGGACGACGAGAGCACCCTCGTAGGCGCTGACCACAGCACGCACACCGAGGTGGAAATACCGTGGCCGAAGGCGCTGGGCGAGCCGGGGCTGGGGCTGACGCAGAGGAGCGTATGTCAGCCTCCACACATGGTCTCGCGGAAGATCATGGAACATATCGCTGAGTTCTCGCATCATGAGGAGGATCCAGATCCAGATCGGAAAGACGACGACGACGCCGGAGTAGCAACTGATCCTGTCGCCAAAGCGTCCAAGTCTGTCCCCTTTGTACCCTGGAGCCTTGGACATACGCACAACCCAGACTACGAGATCTGCGTCGAGGCACGGACGATCGTGTACCATACAGAGCTCAGCCCTCCGCCGTGGCATCGTCAGCGGCGGATGGCGAACGCATTCGTGTTCGAGGAGGACGTCCCTTCCAGTTCGTCGTGACAGTTGGGTGCCATCTCAAAAACTCCTGCCTCATCTTTCTTGGTCGTCTATTTCTGCCGCAATGCGAACATCAACAGCGGCGCTTTGTTTCTTTTCTTGTGGTATTCCTGCTTCATTCTCTTCTAATTAATTTACAGGGGCACAAACAGATAATCATATATCTGCTTAATCATGTAGAACTTAATGTATTTCTCTGGATGTATTTGGGATGTATGTAAACTATTGTACTTATAGTATCCTATCACACCGTCATAGTATCCCACATCAATCATGTATTTCTTGCTACCTCTCCGCGGGCGTAATGACAAAGCAGGAGATCAAAATTCGACGATTCTTACTAGCTAGACATACAGATAACAAGAAACTCGGGGCAGCAAATCTCCCTCTTTTTGCAGAGGACATATGCACTGTGCATGCAAGAGCTACCTACTCATCCCACAACAAAAAAACCTAGGGCATGCACGGTTGATTCATGCTCCTCCTCCCTCATCCGCGCGCCTGGGCCTGGACGGCAGGCGCACCAGTCGCACCCCCACGACCGCCGCCTCCACCCCGACGCGGCCGCCCTCCGCGCCTGCCATACCCGCCCCAGCCGCTGACATACCCCCCAGGGCCCAACAGCCCGACACCCCCCGGCTCGCCGAACGTCGCCACGTTCTTCTCCCGCTCCTCCTCGCGCCTGTTCCGGCCCGCGCCCCCTGGCCCGCCGCCGCCCCGTCGCCCACGGTAGTTGCCCTGGTGGCCGCCGCCACCGCCGCCGCCGTGCTGCTGGTGCTGCGGCGCGCCCGTCGCCGAGGACAGCGAGTCGAAGAACGACTTCTGCGGGTTGTACGCGGGCGCTGCGGCCTCCTTCTCCGCCGGCGCCGCCGCCGCAGCGGACTCCGAGCCCGACGTCGCGGTGCCGTCCTCCGTCGCCTCGCGCGCCGCGCCCGCGGGCGAGTGCGCGGCCTTGTCGAACCTGGCGTTGCTGCCCTCGAAGTCGAAGTCCGTCGTGGGCACCTTGAGCTGCGTCTCGCCATGGCGGCCGCCGCCGCGGCGCCCACCGCGGGGTGCGTGCGCGGGCGCACCGCCGCCGTTGACGCGCAGGTCGCCGAGCGCGCGCTCGACGGTCTCGAGCGAGGCGGCGGCGGAGTGCAGGGGGTTGGGGCGGCGGTTGTTAGGCGCGGGGCCGCCGCGGTTGGCGGCCTGCTGCGGTTGGGCGGATGGCTGTTGTTGTTGTACCGCGGGCATTGGCTGGCCTTGTTGGAGGTAGGGTTGAGGAGGAAGAGTGGAAGGAACGGGGGCAGCGCCGCCCGGAATTGGTGTACCGGCGGGATAAGGAGGGTATGCGGGTTTGGGCATTGGTGCAGATGCCTGGGATAGAAATCAGTCAGTGGCCTGGATTTTCAAAACGTTGGAACAGAATCAGAAGGAAGGCAACGGAAAGATCCACATGGGGTTTTGCGCTCTCGGATATGTTTGTAATTTTTACATCCGTGATACTTCATCATATGCAAAGAAACAAAAGGATGAGGACGTACCCCAAGGACAGCAGGATCATCGTGCACACTAGGACCTGGCGTCGTCGCTGGCTCGTCTACCGCAAGATCCTTGACTTCGGAAGCTCGGAAGATGATATACGCATACGGATCCTGCACTGGTGCAATGAACTGGTTTGGGGGCCTGTACTCGTCATTGACGCTTAGTTCCTTGCTCATGATCAGAAGGCGAATGCGGAGTAACTCACCGCCGTGATTCAGTTCCCATAGAGTACACTAGTCGATAACTATCAGTATAAGGAGTAAAAGTGACGATGAAAGCGATGCTCACCATTCGAAAGCTGGATAGTCGAGGCCTGCGGGTCGATGCCCGCCAGAATACCTCGGTAACGAACATCTGAATGCGAAATGAGAGATATTGGCTTCCTGTGAGATACATGTTAGTTCCCAGTGGTCGCTGAAGGCCCTATGTTGCGAGAGACAGGCATACCCAATGAAACTGAGCGCCATTAGAAAGTGTAGAGATTGAGGTAAGGAGGAAGAAGCTCAGGCGCGTGTTGACGTGTTTGCGCATTGCTTCAATTCAAGCTCCGACAGCACTCCCAAAAGAGGCGAAGTTGGTCCATCTTCGCTTGTAACTCGCAAATAAAATCCCTTTCAGAAATGCAAAGACATTAGTTGATTCGTAAAACAAAACAATAGACATGCACATAAACAACAGATAAGTATATACTTTAGCTTGAAGGGTCGTAAAAAGAGCAATGCGAGTGTGGGGTTGTCTAAAAACCTACGATTTTAGAATCGTTTAGCTGTCTACGGCGGAAGATGCGATAAGTTTGGATCTGATAGGATCTGATAATAGTGTAGTAGGTAGGTGGAGGCTGGTTCGATTGCTTTCGGAGTCCATTAAAGTATCCACACGAATACTAAACTCCTGATCATATGGTTCGTAATACGACTCTCGCAGATTTAGGATGAGTCGCGATCCAAAAATGGCGGATAGGATAACGGGAAAGAGGAGCGTTATATGCACTATGTCGTGCTAAATTAGAGGGGGAAAAAATGACAGGTCTCGTCAATGAGATTCTAGTGAAAAAAGGACAGTATTTGCACATACCCTTAGTTTAGTTGCAGTCAGGAAAAAAACACTCAAGTTGAGAATGCCAACTAAAGCAAAGCTATAAAAGACTATCAAGAAAAGTTATGTAGTGATAGAAAAATGCGCAACTCACATGATGGGGAAGATTATACTATCCCTGAGAAGAATATACAGCAAAGATGTTTCCCTATTGCTATTCCGATAATCCAAGAACATCCGGTGGTTTCCAACTGCGAGATAATACTTGATTCCGAGCGCCAATGCAAGACCGCATATCAGGAGTTCAAATGAGACAATAGGAATCCAAACGACGAATTCCCATGATGTAATTTTCTCTTTTGCGCAGAAGCCAACAGGGGCCTCACCGTATACATCTGGCACCAATCTATTTAGGACTCAGAGGGATTATTTACATCGACAAAAACTCACCTGCAGTGTTCACATTTGAGCCGTCAAGCCATCCCACCAATTGGATAATCGGGACGGAGAGCAGTTCGGTCGCGAAGGCAGCGATGAGGATTCGCAAAATTTTCTGATCATGTGTGTACATGCTTGAAACACGATATATCATGATGCCTGCGACAATATCAGAATTTAACGGACGAGAAATGATGTAAAGGGTGAATTTTACCATGCATTGCGAAGATCGTCACAGCTGCCAGAGGCCCACT